GGCTCCTTCTCTCTCTCTCTGCCCTTCCCCACTTGTGCTCTGTCTTTGTCTCAAAAATAAATAAATACTAATTTTTTTTAAAAAAAGAGACAAAATTCTTGGATACAAAATATGCCTTCTACTGATATTTTTAAAGTTACATTTTAGAGAACTAATTGTAATTAAATATGAAAAAGTATTATAAAGTTATAAAATACCTGCTGTAAAGTATTCCAAGGGCCACACTGAAGAATTTCTAGTGTATTCAAAGGAGGCATCGTGTTGGCTGGGCATTTTACAGATCTCTTTGTCCTAACAATTTCCTTTTGTTGATTTTGCTTGAAAATTTCAAACCAAGGTTTAAATGATTTTATCCAAGCTAGCCTCTTTTCTTCAATAGAAGATAGAAGTGTTGACTTTGGCAAAGTACAGGTCACAATATTTTCACATTCAGCTCTATTATGACATTCTTCTGCGGTTTCTTTAATTTGAGACTTAAGAGAGTTTACTTCTTTAAAAACTAAGGAATTTTTTGCATCAAAACCTCCCAAATCTTCACAAAGAGCATTTCTTCCTAAAGTATAATCTTGCTCATTTATTTTGTTTTCTATATTTATCATGGAATCACTGCTGTTAAAAATCACATCACTATTCAGAGTATTGCCTTCTCGGTTCTCCTCAGTTTCTTTAGAAATGAAATCAACTTCTTGTTCTTGTAGTATTACATTTTCCCCTATATCTTTAGGATTTTCTAATTTTAGTGGTTGTTGCTTCACTGAAATTACTAAAATATTATTCTCTTCATATAGTGGTCCATTCTGTTCTGATATCTCTTCTTTTTCTACTTTTTGTACCTTATTCTGTTGATTATCTTTGATTATTTTCTGTGCTTCATTGTTTTTCACCTTGTTAATTCCTTGACTATGTCCTAATATTATTGTTTGGGTGTCTTGTCTCACATTTTCATTTATGGCAGGTTTCACATGTTCCCCTTTTTGCATTTGAGACTTTAATTCTTGCAGATGAAACTGTTCATTCACGTTTTCTTTCAGACCTGGGTATTCCAATTCGGTTTTTTTGTCTACATCTTCACATTTTCTTTCTTGCTTGATGATTTTTGTGGAATATTGTTGTTTTGCTAGGTTTTCATTTTTTACTTCCATTTCAATTTCGGCCAAAATCACCTGGTTTGGTATAGAATCTTTCCATTGCACTTGTATTGGCTCTTTTAATACAAGCTGTCTACCTAGATTTTTTCTCTTAGTTGATTGTTCAACTAGCCAGAGGGGAACATCTTCCCACTCCTTTGACTTTTCCTCCCCTACCTTTTTGGCTATATCATCCTTATTCTTTGATGTATCTTCAACAGTTAAATGTTTTGCATTATATTCACCTTTCTTTAATGCTCTACTTATCATTAATTGTCTGCTTGCATCTCCTCTTAATCTTAATTTTTCTTTGTTTAATAGTTGCTCTTTTTCTCTTCTCACGATGTTCTTTTTTTCTTCATATTCTATTTCTCTCCTCTCCCTTTCCTCTTGCTTCTGCTTTTTTATCTCTTCTTCAATCTTTTGTTCTTCCTCCAATCTCTTTCGTTTTTCTTCTTCCATCTGTCGTATTTTTGCTTCTTTTTCTTTCCACTCTTGTGCTTCCCTTTTCTTACTTTCTATTTGTTCTTTTATGATTGGACCATATTTTTGGTAGACCACAAATGCTTTATATTTAGCTTGAATTTTTACAGCTGCATTATGATGCAGTTTTAACAAACGCATTTTTTCTTTTTCTTGCAGATCTTTAAATCTTGTTCTTTCTTCTTCTATTTGTAGATGCAACTTTTTAATAAACTCCTAAAGTAAAGTAAGATAAATACCAGTATAAGTGAACAATATTATTAAAATATCATATAAAATATAGGCTGAAAACAGTTAAATTGAAGTCATAATGAAGTTACTATAAAATTCACTTAGAAGGACAAAAGCCATTTATTTTAAAGGATATAATATTTTAAAATATTTGAGAGATTTGATCAAGTTAGTAAGTTGACATTCTAATATTATGACTATACTAAGCCACTCAGATATAAATTGGGGAATTCCTTGAAGATAGAAAGCATATGAAATTAGAATAGTACAGAGAAAAAGCGAGAAAAACCACAGCCAAAATTTGTGTAGGGGAAAAGGACTTTAAACTTTCCCAGAGCTAGCACAGGGACTGCAGACACAGGGAATTATTTGGTGAGATGATGATACCAGGAAGGCAAGGTAGAGCATACATATATGCAATATGAAGAACCAGCCTAGTCACACATTTTATCCTTTCTCAACTATTACGAGAGCTGATAAGCACATACTACATTAAATGAGATCATTGGGTTAGGTGAGAAAATGCCATTGTCACTAGAGTCCTAAAACAAAAGTAAACAGGTCAACACAATTCAGCAACTATTGGAGAAAAGCTAACACAAAGGATGTGAGGCAATGAAAATACTTGAACAAGCAGAAGGAAGAACTAGTTTCTGAGAAAAGGTAGGTACTAAATAAAAATTTAAATATTTTTTTAGGAAAAATATGTTTAAATAAGAATAACTTTATCTAAAAATGAAATGAAAATATTCAAATAAAAAAATATGACTCATTCATACAAAAAAATCACACTAGAATGACTTTAAATAGGTGTTGGCTAAAGAAAAACTTCCAAGTTAGGTGTTTTTCCAAAACAACCTGCAAAACAACAAAGACAGGAAATATATGACAGAGACTTTCAAGCGGAGGATCAACACAGAAACTCCAACACCACTAGTAGGAGTTACAGCTAAAGACCTGAGAAGGATTAAAGGGAAAAAAATAATACAAAAATGTTTTCTAAACCAAAAAAGGCCATAAGATAAGATAAAGAGTAGAGTTAACTTTTCACATATACACATAGACACACATGCCCTGATACACTCATATAGATGCAGCAATATTTCAGAACCCTAAGGAACGTTAAGTTCCATGAAGGCAGAAGTTATTTCTGTTTTATCCACTGCTGCACCCTGAACACTCAGAAGTGCTCGGCATGCAGTAAGAAATCAGTAAATTTGTGTGAATAAATGCAAAAAGTGAAAAATCCTAAAACTTCAAAAGAATGTAAGGAAGGAGTGTCAAATCTACAACGATAACACAGGCAAAAATATCTAAATACGCACATGAGTTAGATCTTTAAATTGTTAAAACCAAATGGTAATAAGTCTGGATTCTATATCCCATGAAACAAATCATTCAATTGTAAAAGCAAAATGACATTATTCTCAAGTGTGCAAAATAAAGAAAATTTGCCATCCAAAAATCTTTTTGACGGGTATTTAGGCATACATTCCAGAAAATGAAAACTGAGTCCAGAAATCAGGGGAAACTCAGGATTCAAAGAACACTAATGATCAAAGAAACCATTAACACTTAGCACTATCTTCTACTTTCTTCTACTATCTCACTTAGGAAGTCAGCTGTTAAGTTCACTGTAGCTCCTTTTAGGTAATGTGCCTTTTTCTCTGGCAGCTTTTACAACTTTTCCCCCTTGTCTTGAATTTCAATCATTACAATACTAAATTCCCAGGTGTGGTTTTTCTCTGTATTGATTCTGTATACAGATCATTAATCAACTTTGAATGTTCAGATCGATTTTCTTTTAAACCATTTCAACTATTACCTCTTCACCCACTGTTTCTGCTCCATTCTCTTTCTCCTATCCTTCAAAGGTTACTAGTATACACATGTTTTATCTTTTCACTATACATCATATATTCTTGTACTCTCTTCTGTCCTCCCATTTTTTTTTTGTCCTCTCTGTGCTTTAATTTGGATATTTTCTGCTGACCTTGCTTCAGTTTCACTAATGCTCTCATTTGCTGAGTCAAACTGTCAAACTTATGCCCTGAATTTTTAAGTTTACATACTGAACTTTTCAACTCTGTAATGTATGCTTGATACTTCATTATAGATTCTAGTTCTCTTTTCTTAGCATCTATCTGTTTAACATGTTGCTATGGCATGATAGTTATAGGTATTTTAATGGCTCTCCTACTCCAACATTTGGGTTACCTATAGGTAAATTACTATTGTCTTTTTTTTTCCCCTTGTCATTCACATGTACTGTCTGTTCACATGCCTAACCAACTTTTTTATTTAAATATGCACCATAGAGAAAATCATATTATAATATATAACATCAAATCAATACACTGTACCCTTCAATCTTATGCAATGTTAAATGTCAAATATACATATGTTTTTTTAAATGGATAGTAGAAACCTACTTTTTCAGGAGTATGGTTATATAAAGAAAATACTTGAAAGATAAAAAAAGGTAGAATGTTTAGTTGGATATCAGGATTATAAGAAGTTTTATCTACTTCATGTTTATAATTAAAATAATTTTATATAAAAATTTCTATTAAAAATTTTGTTTTATATAAAAACATAATTTTATATAAAATTTTATATAAAATTTATTTTATATTTATATTGCATATAAATTTATTTTATATTTATATTATGTGTAACATATATTACATTTATATTATATAACATATGTTATATTTATATTATATATATTATATTTATATTATATATAAATACATAAATAAATATTAAATAAAAATGAGTTAAGTAAATTTAAACTTAATAAATATCATTAGAATGATCTTGAATTCACAAGAATTATTTAACATTCAATTGTGTTCAAGAAATGAGGTAACTTTCATAACCATCTTCAATCATAATGAAATATTCATAATAGCATGTTTCCTCAAATCTTAAAAAATAATAGAATTATAATTTTACATAGACATGTTCACTCACTGACCCAGTTTATTTTAATTTTTAGGGCATTATATTTCAAGGAGAATTTCTGGTGATTAATGAATTTTTTAAAGTCTTAGTAAATTAAATCCTATACCAGCTAGGCAATATTACTTTTAAATGTCCATTTCAAGTATAATAAATATTCCAAATGAAGAATAATTATCATGATGTTTAAAAAGAAGAAATAGATACCTCATGCTGTTTAAATTTCTCTTTCCATATTTTCTCTTCTTTATGGAGTTCATCATTCATCTTGTCCTGTTCTTGCTGAACATACGGTAATATTGAGATATTATATTCAAATATCAAAAAAATATATATACTTATTATAATTGGTTCTCAAACCTGTATTTGTAAATAATAGTTAAAGATAAAAACTCACCCAATGATTCTCTGTTATTAGTAGTAGTATAACAACTCTAATCTCAACCTAAAGTGTCACATAAATGATACCTAAAGTTCCCATTTTGAGCACTTAAAGATGTTGGCAACCTGGGAAAGCTTATTTGAGTATGTTTACATACATAGTAAAAATGTATTCACTAGATATGCTGTTGGACAACATGAAAATTACAAATATTAATGTTTGTAAGATGAGTTTTGCATTATATAATATTTTTCTCTCCTCACCATCCCATTTAACTCACATAACCCTTCAGTTCAGTGGATAATGTTTTTTTTGATTAGCATCTATTTTGTTAAGGCTCTGCAGAATAAACAAGATCAGTAAAATGTAATCCCTTTCCTCTAAAACTTTATGGAAACATTATCATAAATTCCCATATTATCTCAAATTTAGCAGATAAATTTATTGCAAGAGAAGACTATAAAGCATCACAGCAGAAATAGATGTTATAACTGGAGGATCATCAAAGGCTTCATGCAGAAGACTAGTTGAAATGACTAGGCTTTCAAGAAGTTAAACAGACATGTTAAGCATTTATTAAATGTTTTTCAACTAGGAAGATGACTATAGTTCTGCTTTTAGGAAAATTAAAAGGTTACCTTAGACAGAGTTAAAGACAGAAAGCAAGAGTCACTAAAGAGATAATAAAGTAGGTATTAGAAAAGTCCATGTAAGAATCAAGGAGAGCCCTCTGTAGATAGGGTGGCAGGAGTGAGAACAGATATAAAGACAATGTAAACATAAAATTTCCATAAACTACCAGATGATTGGAAATAAAGGAAATGGGAATATTTCTTTGGATATAATCTTACATGATGGGAATTAAGCACAGAAATAACAAAATCATTCTAGGGGTGCCAGGGTGGAGTCGGTTAAGTGGTCAACTCTTGATTTCCACTCAGGTTGTGATCACAGGGTTCCTGAGACGGAGCCCTGCATCCAGCTCCGTGCTGATAGTGCAGAGCCTGCTTGGGATTCTCTCTCTGTCCCTACCCTGCTTGCACACTTTCTCCCTCGTTCTCTCTCTCTCTCTCTCTCTCTCAATCTCTCTCTCTCTCTCAAAATAAATAAATAAATATATTTTTAAAAAATCCTTCTGACAGGACTATGTTGAATCGGTTTGTGGAATACAAGGCCAAAAGTAGAGAGATAGGTTAGAGAGTTTAGACAAGCTAGACATTAGGACACTCTGAACTATGGAGTAACAGTAGATTAAGTGTGTGGATGAAAAGATGGATAATATAACTATTAGAGGGAAGAGGATAATAAAGAGAGGGAAGAGTCAAAGATGGTCCTTATCATTCCAGCTTGGACTATGATGATAGTGTAGCTCATCAAAATAACAAATACCTGAGGAGAAGCACAATTAAGAAATAAAGACAATGCATTCAGTTTTAAACATATTAAGTTCTGAGTGTAAAGTATCTGTAGAAGAGTTATGTAGTTGACATTGTTTCTGAACAGCCGTAGCTGTGGCTGAGATTATCAAGAGAGAAAGTATATGAAGAAAAATAAAAGGACAAAGGAAGAAATCCTTGGTAGTACCATATTCAGGGAGAGAGACAGACAGAGAAGGCTAAACTGGATATAAAGGAGGAATTGTCAAACACGTAAGAAGAGAATCAAGGCAGCATGGTCCGATTGAAGACAAGGAAAAGAGAAATGGTCAACAATCAAAATTTTACTGGCATAAAACGCTACAGAGGTCAATATAAGAGCTGAAAAAGAACCTGTGAGTATGGAAATAGAGAAGTCATTGGTTATTTTTGTTAAGAGCAGTTTAATTTAGTAGAGTGGTGATGATATACACCTAGTAGGCTTAGGATTTAATGAGAGACAAGGACATAAATACAGCAAAAATAACTACTCTTTAATAAGCCTGACTCTGGTAGCTAGAGCTAAAGAGAAGCTAAATTGAGATATATGATCAAAGCTGATCTCATGATTTTTCTTGTGTTTTGTTTCTAGGATGGGAGAAAATTGAACATGTGTATAAACAGTAAGAAAGAAAGAAGTTGATAGGGGTGTTTTGGGGTGTTTCAGCTATGGGGTAAAACTAACAAAGCAGGGGTAAATTGGAAAATGACAGATATAGAGCAGAGCAGGGAAAGCTAACCTTTAGTAGAAGAAACCTTTCCTACTGAGAATGGAGCAAAGACAAGAAAAAACAGCAGGGTGAATATAAAGGTGGATGCAAACTGATACAGGATTAGAAAATAAAGTTTGCCATTGATGCAAAAATGCTATGTGATTACTTGCCAATAATGAGGAGGGAGAAGTTGGGTAGAACTCTTAAAGGAAGAGATTTACAATAGTTGTTAAGTGGAATGCAAGAGGAAGCTAATAAAGGACACAGAAAAGAACTACTGAAAGAAAATAAATTTCATATTTAGAATCCATCATAATAAAATGATGGAACGGTCATTGGAAAAGTGTTAAGCCTCAAGGCATAACAAAGCATACATTTAGGAATGCATTAAAATATTCTAACCTATAATTTTATGATAAAGCACAAATTACTTTTAGAAACTAAGTTAGAATCTTTGAGGGTGGGCCCCAAGTGTTAGATCTCTCTGGGTCATCTAAGCATATAGCTGAATGCTTTGCCAATGAGGTAGTCACTGTATTTTTGCTTTAAAACAATTAAAAATGTCAATTTATTTGAAGAGAATTTAAAAGTCAGATGTCTTCTAAATCTGAAAACACCACTAAGAATCAATAACAATGATGCATTTAAGCACAAGACAGCAAACACTACTCCAATAATCTTAATTATATTAAAGCGTTTCCTGGAATTAAAAAAAAAAAAAAGCTTCTGACTTTCAGAAATGACTGATTAAAATGGTCTGTGGGAAGGAAAACATAATGAAAGGAAAGTTAAGGATGCACAGTTCACTATTAGAAAAAGCCACAACCAAACTGGCTCTGTAATATAATTGTTTTTAATTTATTTTCTATAAAATCAAGAAATGCAATGTACTCAACATGGAGGAATAGAATACCCTGAACTGCATAAGTGACCATATGCCAATGCTCTCTACATAGAACAGTCAAAACTATTAAGTTGTGGGTAATATGTAAGTCAATTTTAGTAATGTAAGACAGGGAAGTCAGTCCTGCCTGTTACCCACACATTCTAAGCTCATGGGCATTCTGATGCCCATAAAGTCAAGTCCTAAAAATTCACCAGTTTCTCAATACACCACTACCATGACTTGAAGTTGTGGACCCTCTGGGGTAGGATTAGGAGGAAACAAAAATAAAAACATAAAACTCCTGGGGCTCCTGGGTGGATCAGTGGGTTGAGTGTCTGACTTAGCTCAGGCCATGATCTTGTGTTTGTGAGTTTGAGCCCCACATGGGGCTCTGTGCTGACAGCTCAGAGCCTGGAGCCTGCTTCGGATTCTGTGTCTCCTTGTCTGCCCCTCCCCTGTTCGTGCTCTGTCTCTCAAAACTAAATAAACATTAAAAAAAAAAAATTTAAAACAACAACATAAAACTCCTTCACACCAAAAAATCTCTGGCCCAGGAATTAGCTCAATATGGGAGCAAAGCATAGGCCATCACCTACATGGTTGAACCACTTCAACCAAATGTTTCATGTAATTGCTATATATTAGACCACATAGCAAGGATATTTCATGATCAAGTAAATTATGTTGCCTTCTTCCATGATAAGAAGGGTATGAAAAAACAACAGTTTATGTTCTAAGTATCAGCCTTTCTAGGACAATCTTTGTAACTTCATAGACCCAGGGGACCCCCAAGATCCAAAGAAGCATCTGAAATTCCAATGAATTACAGTGAAAACTAATCAAGAAGTCCATAGTAAATCCTATTACCACAGTTAATTGCTTCAACTATCAGAAGTACTTAAAACCCACAGAATAGGGTGCCTGGATGGCTCAGTCAGTTAGGGTCTGACTCCTGCTCAGGACATGATCTCACAGATTATGAGTTCGAGCCCTGCATCGGGCTCCCTACTGTCAGCACAGAGCCCGCTTCAGATCCTCTGTTCCCCTCTCTCTGTACTCCTCCCCCACTCAGGCTCTCCCCACCCCCTATCCCTCTCTCTCAAAGATAAATATTAAAAAAATATTTTCTAATGTCATTTGGTCCAAAAAGTAAAATTCTATTTAAAAAAATA